ATGATAATGGTGCCTGTCGAAAAAAGAGCAAAGAAATTTATAGGTATTATCTTGACGGTTTGGATGCCAAAGTCGGCAGAATTTAAAAGTCAACTATATATTTTGAATAAATGTCAGTTTATCTGCCACTTCCAATATTCATCTTCAAGACAACCCATCTTGCAATTTTTATTGGTAAATTCATTTAATTTTCAAACTTTAAAATTTGAAAAAAAAAAATCTAAATTGTTTATGAACCTGTGGAATATTCGACACAGTACCAGATGTTATCTGATATAAGTCTGCTGCCACTTTCAATACCTTCCTTCAAGATGGGTATAACCTAAACGACTCATTTCCTAAGAGCTATTCGAAATACACTTCTCTCCAGACATAAGAATATGAGCTAATTCTTTGGGTTAATGCCTCTTACTATTGCCGATTATTCTCGTCTTATTCTAATCCACTCGATGGGCACCAAAATATTCCAAAACGTGTTCCGACAATGTTTAAAAAAAATCTGTTTTTCCGTTAACCAGCTGTCGCACCCCTACGAACGACAACCCTCAGAAGTCGAAACTTTTGCGAGGGCTAACGAGGTCTTACCTTTTAACGTGTGATTCTTAACACGGGTTGGAGGATAGAAAGTGAAAATCGATCGTTCAGCCTGGAGCTTGAACCACCGACCGACACGGCGGTCGAATTGAGTGAGTGAATAAAGCACACACATCGAACCAACAGGCTACCGACCGGTCGCTAATATTCAATAAAGCGTTCATATAATGACTTTTTTAATATTTCGATTACACTTTTTGTATTCTACGCAATCATCATTCACTCGACATTTTCAGTTATTAGGAAATTAAGGCTCAACGACAGATTCATCTATCTTTCTATTTTTATTTTACTTGTCCTTTTTTTTCAAACGTGATGCCTTTGACCTTATAAATTGTAACAGTGAATAATGTGAATATAAACAATGAAAATGATATACTCATTATCATCGAAGCAGTTTATACATTCAAATTTTATCTTTTGATGACCATGCTGCAGGGTATAAAGTATCGATGAATCAGCGTTGATATTTATTGCTGGGATTTCGATAACAGTGAACGGTGCCATTTCTACTGTAATAATATTGATAAAATACCAACATGCACTTGCCATATGGAAAACAATATGTTTAGAAATAATATACAATGGCTTCACCAATCCAAAGTCTTCCGATACTCCATCAAGATGAAATAGTAGAAAGCCAAAAACTTCCTTTCCCAAAAAATAGTCACTCCTCAAAATATAACCCCTTCAATTTAAACAAGATTCCTTTTGGCTGAGATTTAATCAAATAGGTGAATGAATGTCATTACGATGTCATCGATGACATAAGTGGATCAAACTTATTCCGTGACATAGAAAATCGTAATTGTGTGTATTTTCAATAATGTTATCCAATTTGGTACTGAAAAGCCTTAGGGCAAGTGTCTTACGGCGAAACATCCATGTCTACCAGTGAGGATGACTGTGTTCCATGTAAGTGAATTTTTTACCATTCGTTTAGTATATTATGTAGAAATCCTGTCAATGATATCCGATTTAAATCCATAACGAATATTTGGATAATTCACTGTTCATATGAAAGTATTTGTTTCGAAAGAATTGTTCTTTCGTGTAATTCAATGTTTATATGAAAGTAGCTGTTTCAAGACGGCTTTTTCTCCCAGTTTGTGCCTGAAAGTTACTTCTTTGCATGATTTACACATCTATGCATGAGTTACTTCTTTTAAAATTGATTACTTCCTTCCTTTCTTTGGAAGATTCCCAATTTTGTATCAAGATGGAGTAGTAGCAAGCCAAAAAATTTCTTTCCCGAAAAATTATAGTTTCAACCATTATAAGGTAATATTTCTTCACGCAGAAATGTTCAGAACTGCCTTTGTGAACAGACTCACAGATTTTTTAAATGAATTTGGGATCATACAAAGTAATCAGCATGGTTTCCAGTGTGAGAAGTCGACTAACACTACCTCAATTTCATTGTGAATTCAATTGGAAAAGTATCTTGGCGCTTCAGTATGTCATGTCACATCCTTTATTTAGTCGAAGAGACTAATAATACAGTTCAGTGAGTAACACTTTTAAAAGAAATCAATAAAATCTAAAAATATAATTGATTTGTTGTCACTTTTAGATTGTCATAAAGCAATAAAATATATATACATACATATACACACATATACATACAAAATTGTTAATTACTAATTTACATCTCGTCTCAAATATATTAGCATAAAATCTTGCGAATACATAAAAAATATAAAAAATAAAAAAAAAACATCAGTGACCAATAGTTTTCGAGGACCTTCTATTTTCTGGTCTGGTAATAGTTATCGACAGACCTTCTTTATACATTAATATCAACTGTTAGCAGTACTTCATCACGGCCAACCGATCTTAAGAACAATATTTGAATAAGTTATCGGCAAGTGATACAGACGATTCAAAATATTATATGCATCGTTTTGATCTTCTGACAATCTCGGATATCCGTTCTTCACCGATACGTATTCGTAGAAATATTTACAATTCAACCGGTTATCCGAACAATACGTATTTGATCGATTTATCAATAATCCAGATATACTTAGTGACGAATAAAGGCAAACACCCATTCATATTGAAAATATTTCAATAAGTTTTTACTTAGGGAAACGGAAGGTAAAACGAACCCTGCAGGTAAGACGGATCAGACTAATAACTTTCAAACTGTTAATGCCATCTATTATCAACTTGCGTCAACTTGACAGTCGCCTTTCACTTAGAGTTGGTCAGTGTCCTTGAAGCGGCCGTGCAGCAGGACATGTTTATATCAAGGTAAGTTTAGTTTTACGTATTTTGATGTAAAAACAGCAAATTTTGATCTGCCTTCAGTTTTATCACGTTAAAGATATCAGGGATTTTGTATTATTGTATGATACATTGTTTGTTTTACTTAGTTTTAACATTAAATAGACAAGATCCTCCTCAATCTTAACCTCAAAAAAAGCAAAACGGAACGGGCAAAATGGACCACGTGGTCCGTTTTACTTTCAATGCAATTGGTTTGTGATTATACATACATAATTATTTAAAGAGAACATTAAATTTCTTGTTAGCCCCATCACTCATTTAATTAATACTATTTTGTGTGATGGGATATTTCCTGACAAATTGAAAAAAGAGATTTCTCGGATCCATCTACATCGAAAACCTTATACTATGCTTTCGTCAGATCAAAATTAGAATATGCATCCATAATCCATGTCATCAGTTGTATACAGAGAAAGTTGAATCATTACAACGTCGTTTCCTAAAACTTCTCTCCTGTAGATCAGACAATATATATCCACCAATTGGATTTCCCCATGATGCATTGTTAGCTAGACACGCTATGAATAGCTTGAGTTACCGTCGTGATTGTCACTCCACAATTTTTCTTTTTGAACTGATAATTAATTTAATTATTAACCGACATATTCTGCAAAAACTTAATTTCAAATTATGTAGACCAACCTCTAGAGTGGATAATCCTTGTTATCTGCCAACACCACGTATAAATATTCTGAAACGTTCACCTCTGCCTAACATGTGTGTTATTGTTCGTTGCCCGAACAGAATACTCATTGTGATTTGGCAAAGCGGACTGAATAAATGACAACTGATTTGACAGTTGTAGCTTCAACAACATGGCGGTTATCAAAAGTCTCTGTTGGAAAACCCTATACAAGCAAATTTGAATTACCTTAAACTTCAAAATATTTCAGTATCAATTGAATGTACAACTTATGACGGATCCAAAGAAGTAGAAGAGATAATTCCCCCCCTCAAATTCTACAAGCCAAAATATATCATCAGTTTCTTCTGAGAAGCAACCTGGGACAAAATAAATTGATATCCAATATGTCATCCAACAAATTACTCGACGCAGCGGAATTGTATGCCTGACATTATAATGTCCAATTTCGCTATTTTCATCTTCCTGGAGAAAACTGATAGGTACATAGGTTTCCATAGCGTTAGATTCTACAGTTTGCCAAATATAGAACGAGCTTTCTAACTTTCGATATGGTCCCGCCCACTAGATGCGAAATAATTAGAAGACGGTGAAAGCAAGTAAAAGAGAGAGAGACTCAACTCTCCTTCCATATTCAACAATCTGTTGTTGGTTTCTGCTATCCCAAGACCTCTTGATGCCGCCGAAAAAGTGCAAAGGCGGAAGATCAATATGCCCTCATCAGCAAAGCAAAATATTGGTTTCGTGGTATTTTCTAGACTAGACTAGAGAAAATCAGCGCTGATGGTGTCGGTATCCGAAGAACAATCGATGGCTACTTAACAGCCACGATCTCTCTTGACGAACACGGACCTAGGAAATATCCGTTGGGTCTGAAAGAAAATTCAATCCTGTAATAACCAAGATAACAGAGGTTTCCCGAGATGGTCAGTTACAAAGCCAAGTTTCAACATCGACTGCCAAAGATTGGCTTTGCAACTTTGTAACGTCTTCGTAAAGTGAGATGTCGTCAGGTCTACTTACTCAGGCTCTCTGGTTCATCCTAGAACCACTAATGAGACTTACAGGCGGGGCGAACCAGTGCTGTCTGGTTTAGATCACGAATGTTTTGTTTTTAGGTTCTAGTTTTAAGTGGATGCCTTGCAGTGAGAGCTGCAGTGAAAGACAGAGGACGAATGTCGTTCGACGGTTGATATCGCAGCTTGGCTTTGACTACTTGGTTACTCAGGTTTGTCTTTTAAGGAGAGTTGAGTCAAAATAAAATATTCATGCATTAATTTCATTATCCCAAATTTCAATTTTTTGAGTTGACCCGTTCAAAAAATAAAAAGGGGGGGGACATTAAAGAAAAGCACTGTATAGACAGGGAGCCTTCATAATCTCCCAACGCAAGGCAAACAATTCATAACGACAGACTATGCCTGTACCTAACTCAACAATTTATAATATCAGTACTGATTCCAATACATACTATGAATACTGGTTTTTTTCTTCAGTTTGCTGGCTCCTTTTCCCATGTCTCAAACCCCTTTGAATCCATCACATGAACTTTCACAAAACATCACTTCTCACTACACTTGAAAATTGATCTTCGACATTTAGTAACTGCGTAGAGATGAAACAAACGGCCTGAAATTATAAAAATTCAAATTTAATCCGATGAATAAAACAAGACGTAAATATGAGCACTAAAGAAGTTGGCCACTTCGATATTTGAAATTTGGTGATCTGGAACATAAACTACAGCATAACACAAGAGGTTTTCCACATTCCGCTGACCATGGGTCTAGACTTTCACATAAATTATTCATTAAGGAATATTTGACGTCTTCTATCATTTTGTTTTCAACTTTCACCAATAATATTTTATTGTGATATCTCATAACCTCTGCTTTCTGAGTAAACTATTTGTTTTATTTGCGTTTAATTTTATTGGCGAGGTCAAAAATATTGTTTTGAAAACACCAGATATCATAACTTGTTGGGTGAAACAGGCATCGAAATAGTGTTGCAGCTCTAGTGTCTTGGAGTAGTTTCAGTTATTCATCTTAATGGACGAATGGAAACGTTATTCTGAATTTCAATGAAATCGAAATGAATACGCGACGTTTTTGTAATGCACCGGGACAAGTCGGGTGCCGGGTCTGCTGTCTCATTTCAAGGCACTTTAGATTTTGTTGTTGCTGAAAAATACTAGTTTAGGTTCTTACGTACTCTGTTCATATCCAATTCTCGTTACGTTTCAATATACTGGTATATTAAAAAATGCGAACTAATTGCATCGAAATTATAGTACATACTGGCGTTCAGTTTTTCAGTTGTATTTAATGAATGAAAAAATTAAACATATTGTAACGAACCTGAAGTCGCCCCTGACCGATATGCCGGCCAGCGAACAAACTCATGACATCACCGCAAAAGGAATGCAGTCGGCAACCGCCGGTAAAACTCTAGTGGAGTATCGAACCGACTACAGATTTCTAGAAACAATCGTTACCTATATAAGGCCGGCTTCCCGACCCAAGAAAGAGTTCAGAAAGTGAATCGAGCGGTTAAACAAGGAATTCAAATAGTGGAGATAAATTAAGCGTTAGTTGTCAAGTGTTGTAAATAAATTAGTTTGTGATCAGTGAAATATTGTTGGAAATAAATTTGTTTGAGACAGTTACTACTTTAAGTTATTACAATATAAAAAAATGTTCGAAGTGGACCACTTCCTAATAACGTCAGTGTTAATTTGGAAGTTTCAGGCTGTTTAATACATATTTGGAAGTATAAGGATCAACTTTAGTATGAAACTGGAAAATAACGATGCTCTTCACAAGTAAGGTTTACTTATTATCACTCATTTAAATAAACATAAACAAAACTGTGAATGTGTAGTGATGTTATGAGCTTCGTCTCCAAGTTACGAGGTGGAGGGAGAAATATGTTTTGTCATATCTGCAACCCCCCTTATTTTGCGAACGATAATTTGTTCCGGGAAAAACAGCAGAAAATGATTATTGCAAGTTTAAATATCTTTCAAATATGTTTTGCCGTCAACCAGTAGTCGCACCCCTACGAACGACAACCCTCATAAGTCGAAACTTGTGCGAGCTAAGGACTAACGAGGTCTTACCTTTTGACGTGTAATTCCTAACACGGATTGGACAATAGCAAGTGAAAATCGATTGTTCAGCCTGAGGCTTTAAACACCGACTAACACGGCGGTCGATTGACTGAGTGAACAAAGCACCCACGTCAAACCGACCGGCTAGCGACCGTCTGCTTATTTTAACATTTCAAGAACAAGTTCGAAGTCATCCAATCCAATAAGAATCGCCCCGTTGGAAAATGTCTACTAATTTTTGTGAAATGAGGTGTTCTAAGTGTTTATTAGCTAGAGAGACACAATGTGTAAAATGGTCTGTGTATGTCTCCCTTTCTTTACAATTCCTTTTCAATTTCTGTCCTATATTTAGTTTCTATAAATGCATTTTTGAAAAGGTGGTAGTTATGACCAGAAAAAGCAGCATCAAACCATATCTTGGCTTCCTTGATTAGACAATTATTAAAAATTATTTTGACTTTTTGGAAAACATCAGTATATACATCATACATTGATTCCAAAATATTTAAAAAATCTAGAGGGTGTAATAGTTTTTGATTGTCAAATTTAGGGTGTGTCACCTTTTGTTTCAAATTTTACAATATGACCTAGTTGAACCGATCGTCCACCTAACCTCCTATTTTTGTCGTAACGTTTCGTCATGTAAAACAGAAGAAAACAAAAAGAGGGGCCTGAAAAGAAATTGAAAAATTCAAATTAAACAAGAATTATTTTGCCCTCTTCGATCCCTCACTATTTTTAAGACAGTGTTATCTTTCTATTGAATACGTAAACACTGCGGTAGTACACTATTACATATTCAGATATCGCCCTGTATGAAACATCGTATCCATTCCAGATATTCTAATTCTTTTTTGTTTTCCCGACAAACACATTAGTGTTGAAGCAGTCGATTTAGTTTGGTACGTCACAAACCATGTGCATTTGTTTGAATAGGACTGTGTAATAGGACACCTTCCCATCTTCTGTTGACGCTTGGCATTCTTACGTTATTCACAGGCAATGTGTTAAATGTACGAGGGTGTGTCGGAAGTTTGACGTACATCCGTTGATCGTTTTTTAAAAGTTTTTGTTGAATTGAGGCCATTCGTACATTAGAATTCATATATGGTCCAGTCATCTTAGTCAAAATTAGGTGAGTATCTCGGAATTTGAGATACCCAGCTATAGACTCGTATAAAAACGTATTTTGACATCCTAAACAAAAATCTACATAACGTCAAGTGTACACGACTATTAAAATATAATGTCAAAGATCACAAAAATCGATTTTTTGCACATTTTTGAATATCCTATGGGTGTTTCGCTACCTGTATTCATTATCAATATTGTAGAGGATTTAATTGCCCTACTAGGAGGTCATCATGAAAAATAAGAAATTAATCTTTCTGTTTTTACCACTTTTATGAACAACAAAATACATTATTATCAATAATTTTCGTCTTAAAAAAGACTAAAAAAAGGAAAAAACCTTTTTAAAAGCATTTGAGAAACTGCCAAGTTTGGATCAACTTGCAGCAGCATTTGAAGAAAAATGTCTGGTTAAAAGAATATTTGAGAATGGAATTCAAATCTTGTTGGAAGTCTACAGTGCATTTCTTTAATGTCACCCCCTTTTATTTTTTGAACGGGTCAACTATCTTTTTGAAGCTCCTGACAAATGCTTCACAACCCTAGAATATCTTCAACTACTACAAGATGGCGTAATTTTTAATAATTGCCTGAATACATTGACATTTAACTATATAATATGAGGTAATAAGTTTGAGGTCAGTTCAGAAGATGCTCGAAATCGTTTCCTTGAACTTCTTGACATATGAACAGCCTATCCGATATTTCACGTCGAACATTTTCGAACACAGTAACGTCAATATCTCTACAAATATTTATTATTCTCTGCAGTATATCCAATATTGAAGCAGGTTCAGTTTCGTACACCTTTTGCTTCAAATAGATCCATAAAAAAGTCCAAAGGTGTCAAATCTAGCGAGCTGGCTGGCCATTCTGTAGGACCTCGACGGCCAATCCAACGACCAGGAAAAGTAGTATCCAAATAGTTTCTTACTTGCCTGGAGTAGTGTGGTGGTACTCCATCTTGTTGGAATACAATATCCATAATATATTCATTAGGATTCGCTTCGATGATTTCAGTGATGAGAGGGTCAACAGTAGTTTTCAGCATATTCAAATACAATTACCCTGTTAAATTTTGATCAATGTATAGAGGTCCTACAATATGGTTTTCCAATATACCTGCCCAAACGGTAATTTGTTCTGGATATTGGGTATGTGTTTCCCGGAAAACGTGAGGATTGGTATCACTCCAATTTTTTATAAACAAAAAATAACTCAACAAACCTTACGGGTTGTCGGAATTGCCAAATGGAAGATAAAAAAGAATATTTCTAGAAATATCGATATTATTGTGTTTGTTTTCAAGGAATTATTAAATGTTTCGGCATTTTGTAGTGGGTGACTTCATATTCTAGGGTTGTGAAGTATTCGTCAGGAGCTTAATGATGTGTCGCTAGACCCCCCTTTTTGGGCGCCATCTGGGAAAAAACTTAAATAAAATCTGTGGACAGTATCAATCATCTTTGTTAAGCACAATACGTCAAATCTACAAAAGTTAATGAACCTTTGCAGTTACCAAATATTCCACCAAGTGCATCAGCTCAAAACATTTCAATAATAGTGTTTATTATCAAATTCAAACTTGGTTATGGCATGATTTGGAGCCTCAGGAATGGGGTTGGATAGAGCGTAACGAATTCCTGGAACCTATCACGACAATTTTAGTACCTGCTCAACACAATATTCTGCAACTGCAAAAGTGGTTTTGGTTCGCGATGTGGATACAGGAAATCGGGGTTGCAATGCTCTTCAGCTTGTGGCCAGTGTGATGGGCAAGCTTGTCTCAATGCGATATCAGAGCCTTTGAATACAGAACCTTTGACCACGAAATCATGGAAGACCCGGAAGACAAATGTCGTTGCAGACGATAAAGAAGAGGAATTTGAAATACTACAGCGATCGGAAGACGACGAAGAAGAAGAAGAAAATAATGAAAATTATAAGTTGTAGTTCTTGTAATTTTTCTGAAGAAAAACTTATTTGTCGGATATAGTTGTTTTCTGATATGTGTCAGTCCATTAACCTACTGTGTGGCTAAGTGAAGACTGGCATGAAATAAATGTTCCTTTTAGATGATCTGATTTATAGCCAGTCTTCAAGTATGCCCACTAACTATATGTGAAAAAACATCTTCATTTAATAAGTACCTACTTCTCTTGAATATATTGTTGTCACCTGAATAGCATCGTCACACTTCAAACGCCCATTTTGAAACACGTGTCCCTACGATAAGAATTATTCACGTATTTTTCTTTCCTGTTTGCACATTATGCGACATAGGAGTTCTTAGAATTTCTTCACGATAATGATTGTGTAAAATGTACAGTCAGATCGTTTTCGCTAATCTCGCCTGAAATGATTAATGGATATCTATCCCATAGGTTTCGAATCATCGTAGCCCAAGACAATCAATACAGAAATACATCAAATACAAGAGCAGTTATTGAGTACTAGATTGAACGAGGCATAAATTGTTCATTTCGGATCACAGAAATCGAACATTCCTTTATATTCATTCCTATACGTATCCATCTATCAG